TATTCTAACAAATATAGGGAAAGACAAATATATTTCCCTACAGAGTTATAAATGACTGGAACAATCACATTTGCAGTTATTCTAACAAATATAGGGAAAGGCAAATATATTTCCCTACAGAGTTATAAATGACTGGAACAAGCACATTTGCATTTATTCTAACAAATATAGGGAAAGGCAAACATATTTCCCTACAGAGTTATAAATGACTGGAACAAGCACATTTGCAGTTATTCTAACATATATAGGGAAAGGCAAATATATTTCAGTGTTCTAAAGAGGCATGATAGTAGATGTATATCTAACAGGTGCCACAGTGGCCATGACAGTTTCATTTCTCATCATGTGCATCCAACGATGTTTCAAGTGTAGCCTGATGAAGACAGTTACTTCCAAGATGATAATGCTTTCATTTGATGATTCTCATGTTTAGTTAGAGATTTATTTTTCTTGATGTCAGAATTTGTTTGATACTGTTAAAGAGTTTTTACAATAGCTATTACCATATTATCATATCATAACCCCTAATTATGGCGGTTAGAGTTGAATTCCAAATAGCAGTAAGGGTTCAGATCCACATGGCGACCAGGGTTATAACTCCTGTAAATGCAAGTGTGGATTACACAGTAAAGCCAACATCAGGGCTGCAAGTGACTGCGCCAACAATATTTTTGGTGAGGGTAAAGTTTGCTAAAAGTGACTGACACAAAGTTGCACTTGAATTATCTTGAGCTGTATTTTGAATTGGATGTTTAATAATATTTTATTCACTGTTCAATCTGTAACCGTATTTCAATTTACGTTTTTTACTATAACAATGTCCCTCGATGAGACAGTGGTAAGTTTACGAACTTACAATGATAAAATCCAGAGTTCAATTTCCCAATGTTAGATAGCCCAATGTTACTTTGCTCTAAAATGAACAAACTGACATAAAAAAAATGGAGTATTTGTACCTTTCAGTTGTTTTTATTCTGCACTACGTTTTAGTTACATTTTATTTTATCCAGAAGTTTAATTGTGTTATATTTAGTTGAATGGCTGTAAAGTTTTATTTATGATTGGATTTTTTCCCAGTTTTATGTTGTAGTTAAATGTCTATGTATCATTTTGATTTGTTGACTGGTCTTCTCTTATACGCCCTCCCAGTGGCACAGCGGTATGACTGCGGACTTTAAATGCTAGAAACCGGGTTTCGATACCCGTGGTGGGCAGAGCACAGATAGCCCAATGTGTAGCTTTGTGCTTAACTACAAACAAACAAACAACCTTCCCTTATAAATAAGCCTGGCTTGACCTGATGGTTAGGGCACTCGATTCATTTTCTGCATGTTACGGAATTGAACCCCTTCACTAAACCTGTTCAACCTTTCAACCATGGGGGGTGTTATAATGTGATGGCCAATCCCACTATTCATTCAAAAGCAGCCCTTGGGTTGGCGGAAGGTGTGGTCGACTATATATCTTCCCTCTAGTCTATCACGTTGAAAATTAGGTACGAAATTAAGGGGCTCAGCCACATGATGCAATAAAATGTACAGTTTGTTTGTTCATTCATCTTATTTTCAAATATACGTTCAAACATACTGTTCTGTTTATATATTTTTGCTTCTATTACGCTTACATTCCATTCAGAGAACATTTCTATGGTAACCTAGTATTGTATCTACTGTATATTGTTGAGAGACGTACGTTAGTGGCACAAGGTGATACGTGGAGATGAAAGAAAATTGTACTCCTAATGTTAAATTAAAGCCTTGACACATTAGTTAGATAACTTATTAAAGCACGTAGAACTATGAAATGATCGATCATTATTTTAGCTCAGACCAAGTAAACGAAAGCAAATTTTAAAGCAAATGGAACAGAAGGTTTGTTTGTTTGTAATTATGGACAAAGCTACACGATGGGCTATCTGTGCTCTGACCACCACGTGTATCGAAACCCGGATTCTAGCGTTATAAGACCGCAGACGTACCGCTGTGCCACTGGGGGGCATGGAAAAGAAGGTTTGTTTGTTTGTAATTAAGCAAAAAGCTACAAAATTGGCTATCTGTGCCACTGGGGGGCATGGAACAGAAGAGAAAAATCCTAAAGTCTGGATGTTTTCCCATTTACAGCCACTACTTATGAGCTTATAATTTTGTAGATTGTATATAATATAAACTCAGATTTGTCATGCTAGACCAGCATCATGAACCAATTACAGGATTACAGCCAAAGATGTAAAAGAATGTATAATAAGAACTCAGATTTGTTGTGCTAGACCAACTTCGTGAGCCAATTACAGGATTACAGCCAAAGATGTAAAATAATGTATAATAAGAACTCAGATTTGTTGTGCTAGACCAACATCGTGAGCCAATTACAGGATTACAGCCAAAGATGTAAAATAATGTAGGTTGTATATAATAAGAACTCAGATTTGTTGCGTTAGACCAACATCGTGAGCTAATTACAGGATTACAGCCAACTATATAAAAGAATGAATAATAAATAATGAATAATCAAAATATTTAGCAAAAGTACAGAGGTTTGCAAAATCAATTTTTGTTGTTTTGTTTTTAGAGCAAAGCCACACTGGGCTATCTACTGTGTTCATCGCAGAGAATTGAACCTCGGATTTTAGCACTGCAAGTCTGTAGATTTACCGCTATTCCATTGGAGGGCAACAAATTATTAAGCTTTCTACTAAAATGATTACATACGGTAAAAATACCGATTTTTGTGACATGATCATTATGTAAACACTGCTTACGATAAACAGGAGACAAATCCATATTGAATATTGTATGAAACAACACAAATGAATGTTACATGGGTTAAATGTAGAAAGAGTAAAATTTAAAAAGTGTTGTTAAACTGTTGCAGGTGATACCATTACTAAGATACCTGTATCAAAACTTAAAACATTAAAAGTCCTTTTAGCAAACAATGGCTACAATCGAATCACAAATAAAATATACCGTATTTTTCGGTGTATAAGACGCAC